GTGTGTGTGTGTGTGTGTGTGTGTGTGTAAGTATGTATGTTTATTTTTGTGTCTGTATGTGTATGTATATTTGTTTTTGTTTATGTGTATATGTATATATGTATGTATGTATGTATGTAATACGTATGTCTGTTTGTATGTGTTTGTTTGTGTGTTGTATGTGTATGTATGTAAATGTATTTTCAAAATATTTCAATAAACTTGTTTGATCATTGTTCTTCTCTTGTTTTCAAGTTTTTTTTCATCTTCTTTTAAATGTGTGTGCATGCTCGTATGCGTGTGTGTGCACGCATGCAATTGTGTATGTATGTGTGTATATGTTTTGTGTGAGTGTGTGTGTATGTTTGTATATATTTGTGTATGTACGTGTGTATATGTTTGTTTGATTGCTAAATTACATGTTCGTTCGTTCGTTCGTTCGTGTTTGTTTGGTTGGCTGTACGTATGATTAAAATGTGTACACACATCTCTTTTTCATCCTTCTTTTGCTTCATATTTAGACTATTTATTCTGTTGTTGTTGTTTGGCTCATCTACTCTTGTCACAGTAGTAATAGTTAAGAAGTAGTAGTAGTTGTTGTAGTAGTAGTAGTTGTAGTAGTAGTAGTTTAGTAGTAGTAGTAGCAGCTGTAGTAGTAACAGCCGCTGTAGTAGTTGTAGTAGTAGTAGCTGTATTAGTAGTAGCAACAGCTGTAGTAGTAGTAGCAGTAGTAGTAGTTGTAATAATAACAAAAGTTGTAATAATTTGGCGTGTCATTTTGTTTACCTATCTTTAACATAGGACTGTTCAGATCATATGCATATTAATGATTTTGTTTGTTTGTTTGTTTTTTTTAGAGAAAGAAACAGAGGTTGCAGATCACTTCATCTTCTCTGATAAAAGCAACAACATTAATAACATCAAAAAAATCATATCAACAACAATAACAAATAATAATATTAATAATATAAAAACTAAAGACTATAATATCATTGTTATCCAGCTGTGATAATAATTAATCAAACAACATCACATCATCATCATTCATCATTATCATCCTCTTCTTCCTCTTACAAAGTTCAATATACATCATTCGTCGTCACCATCGTCCTCATCATTATCTTCGTCATCAGCAGATGCAGCAGACAGTACTATATACAATAGCATGGATACAATAGCATAGATACAATAGCATGGATATTTATTGGATGTGACAACCACAAACACCGCCATTGGCTCAGCTAACAATTATTCCTTCAAGGATAATCATTACCATCATCTTTTTTCATCGTCGTCGTCATCATCATCATTTCGGAGAATTAGTAACTCCTTTTTGTACACACATTTTATACACACATATACACAGTTGGCATAACATAAGCACGTATATACACGCCAAACATCATGGCGACCTTGACATTGAAGATAAACGTTGTAGATTGCTGTGTCACAAAGACGATTAACTTTGATCCAACTACAATTGTTTATGACGCCTGTCGAATTATCAGAGAGAAGGTTCCAGAAAGTACCACAGCCACTCATGCTAATGGTGAGTTGGCTGGTTGGCTGGCTGGCTGGCTGGCTGGCTGGCTGGCTGGCTGGCTGGTTGGTTTGTTGGTTGGTTGGTTGGCTGAAGGGTTGATTGGTTAATTGATTGATTGATTGAATTGTATTGAAATACAATTTTTATACATTGTGCTATTCTTGTATTGCCTTATATGCATGCAGGATCAGCCAATAAATTTTAAAACTTCCATTTTTCAGGCAATCTACCCTCTAGGGTGTATTATCTCTTTATAATTTATCTGGTGGTGCTATAATTCGAATGGTTTAACTCATTCTCTTCCTCTCTCTCTCTCTCTCACTCTCTCTCTCTCTCTCTCTCTCTCTCTCTCTCCCTATCTATCTATCTATCTCTCTCTACTGACTAATGAATTTTTATCACATGTACATACATATAATGATCGCTTTCTCTCTCTCTCTCTCTCTCTCTCTCTCTCTCTCTCTCTCTTTCTCTTTCTTTCTCTCTCTTTCTCTCTCTCTTTCTCTTTCTTTCTCTCTCTTTCTCTCTCTCTTTCTTTTTATTTCCTTCATTGGATCTCCTCTATTTTTGTTTCCTTATAGCAATATTGGTAATGATAACATCATAAAAATAACAATGGAAATAGTATTATCGCAACTACTACTACTACTACTGCTGCTGCTGCTGCTGCTGCTGCTGCTGCTGCTGCTGCTATTATTACTACTACTACTACTACTACTACTACTACTACTAATAATAATAATAATAATAATAACAATAACAAATATTGAAGCTGTTTAGAAGTTGAAGTTAAATTTATCTGGCTAAAAAAAATGTCAACTATGTTTGTTGTTTTGTTAGGATCATCATCGTCGTCGTCGTCGTCATTATCATCATCATCATGACGTCATTATCATCTGTGTTATCATTATCATGGCCGTCTTTATCCTCGTTAATAATAATAATCGTAATATTAATAATGAAATTGTAATAATAATAAAGTTTTGCTTTAGTAATTGAGGTGATAATAGTAGTAGTAGTAGTAGTAGTAGTAGTAGTAGTAGTAGTAGTAGTAGTAGTAGTAGTAGTTGTTGTTGTTGTTGTTGTTGTTGTAATAGTGGTAGTAGTATTAGTAGTAGTTGTAGTAGTAGTAGTAGTTGAGTTGTTGTTGATGTTAAGAAATCATTTTTATCAGTTTATTTTTTTTCTTAAAAGAGTGATTAGGATTGAATTGCATTACTTTTTTTTATTTTTATTGCTCCTATTGTCATTATTATTATTATTATTATTATTATTTTATTTTTATTACTCTTGTTTTCGATGTTGTTGTTATCATTATTTTTTCAGTTGTTGAAGTTTCTAATGGTTGAAATTGGTTAACAAAAAGAAATAGCGTAAAAAGAGGAAGAGAGAGAGAGGGAGAGAGAGAGAGAGACAACGACAGAGGAAGAGACAGACAGACAGACAGACAGATGTAATAGATAGTCTGATAGAATTTCATAGAAACAACTTTTTACAATGGCATATTTACAACTTTGATAAATAATAATTTATGGTTATGCTCTAAACTCAGAAGGCATACTTTTATGGTTAATTGCATAACATCATCATTTAGATTTCATTGTTTACTCATTGCTTCTTTGCACACCGTAATTCGTAGCCCGGCTAGCTCAGTCGGTAGAGCATGAGACTCTTAATCTCAGGGTCGTGGGTTCGAGCCCCACGTTGGGCGATTTTTTTTTTCAATTTATTTACTTTGTTTCGGTATGAATTCATATGATTAACGCACTTTGGAACGTTTATTTTTCATCGCAACGTACATAATATTAATGATGTCTCGTTATAATAAACGAAACGAGTCATCTTGAAGGAATTTTTTTATTAACAACTGTTTTTAGTCTTTTGACGCTCTACAATTCAGTATTTATTTAGTGATGACAACCTTGAAACTAATTGGTCAATTAATTTCCAAGAGAGCGTTGGTTTGTTTGTTGGGTCTATTTTGTACTGTGGTATCGCGTTATCGTATCGTAATACCTATCAGTCGATGGATACACGTAGCCCGGCTAGCTCAGTCGGTAGAGCATGAGACTCTTAATCTCAGGGTCGTGGGTTCGAGCCCCACGTTGGGCGCGAATGTTTTATTAATTTATCATTTAACTTGTCCATGTTACATTTTATAATTTTGTATGTTTTCGATCTTAAAACAATATCAATAGTAATAATAAATCATAATTTTGATAATAATTATGATGCTGATAATAATTTAAAAAATAATTTTTTCTGCCCCCCCCCGTCACAAGCAGCAAATGATTACGGTCTGTTCTACACCGAAGAGAACAAGAGGACGGGCATCTGGCTGGAGTCGGGCAAGTCTTTCGACCACTACATGCTCAGGAATGGCGTTGGTTCCTAAGATTTGGAATGATAATGATAATAATAAGGATGATGTGATGATATGATGATGATGGCGGAAATGATGATGATGTCAGCAATGGCTATGAAGATGAGATAATTCGCCATCCACATAGCGTTAAATTAGGACAAAAATGTAAATTTTTCTACCAACCTGTTAAGGATTTACTTGAGTACAAGAAGAAGATACGAACGTTGCGGGTTCGAATGCTGGATGACTCCGTCAAGACACTTTTCGTGGACGACAGTCAAAACGTTTCTCAGGTCATGCTCTCCATCTGCAGTAAAATAGGTTTGTGTGTGTGTGTGTCTGTGTGTGTTTCTGTGTGTTTGTGTGTGTGTGTGTGTGTGTCTTGTGTTTGTGTGCGTTTGAATGTGTGTATGTGGGCGTTTGAATGTGTGTGTGTGTGGGTGTGTGTTTGTATGTGTGTCTGTGTTTGTGTGTGTGTGTGTTTGAATATGTGTCTGTGTGTGCGTGTCTGTGAGCGTTTGAATGTGTGTGTGTGTGTTTGTGTGTGTTTAAATGTGTGTGTGTAATATAATTACAAAATGACAACAACAATAATAATAATAACGATTTTCTCCCCACCACCACCACCACACGCCCACGCAGGCATCACGAACCACGACGAATACTCGCTGGTTCGAGATCTGCCCGACTCAGAGAAGGAGAAAACGCTGACCATGAAGAGGGACAAGTCGATCGCGAAGAACCAGAAGAAGCTGGACGAGATGAAGAAGAAGCTGCACACTGATGATGAATGTCAGTGGTCGTGTGTGGATGCATCCATATTATTATTATTATTATTATTATTATTATTATTATTATTATTATTATTATTATTACGGAAATTTATATACAGCGCTTTTTTATTGTTGAATCTCAAAAGCGCTACTAAATCATAGACAAATAAGACGGACATTCATTGTGCAAATAAATAAGTTTTAATTTGACTTCGAAATTCCATATATACATATACATGTACACACATGCATGCATGCATGCATACGAACAAACACACACACACACACACATGCATGCATGCATGCATACGAACACACACACACATACAAACAAACATACAAACATACAAGCAAACATACAAACAAACATACAAACAAACATACAAACAATCAAACAGTGGATTGGTTGGACCACAACAAAAGTTTACGAGAGCAAGGGGTCGATGAGAAGGAGACGTTACTACTTAGAAGGAAATACTTCTTCTCCGATCAGAATGTCGACGCCAGGGATCCAATACAACTACATCTTCTTTATGTTCAGGTTCTCTTACTCTCATTCATCCATTCATTCATTCGTTCATTCATTCCTTAATTAATTCATTCATTCATTCATCCATCCATCCATTCATTGATTCACTCACCCTCTCACTCACTCACTCACTTACTCATTCATTTTCTCACTAACTCACTCACTCCTTCACTCACTCACTCACTCATTCATTCTCTCACTAACTCACTCACTCCTTCACTCACTCACTCCTTCACTCACACACTCCTTCACTCACTCACTCACTCACTCAGACGAGGGACACGATTTTGAAAGGGGCCCTGCCGGTAACGCAGGACCAGGCTATTGAGTTCGCTGGCCTCCAGTGCCAGGTACAGCACGGAGACTACGACGAGAAGAAACATAAACCCGGATTTCTCGAGTTAGTGGATTGATTGAAGGAGGAAATGAATGAATGAATGGATGAATGAATGAATGAATGAATGAATGAATGAATGAATGAGTTAGTGGATTGATTGAAGGAGGAAATAAATAAATGGATGAATGAATGAATTAATGAAGGAATGATTGAATGAATGAAAAAATGAAGAATTAGCGAATGAATGAATTATTGCATGTTATTAGAGTGGATTGATAGAAAGAATTTTCTGAATGAATAAATGAAATAATTTGATAATGTTTTACTAAACATCAGTTTGAAAGAAGTTCTGCCTAAAGAATATTGTAGAGTTAAGGGAATTGAAAAGAAAATATATCTTGTTAGTGAAAATATTGAATGAATGAACGAATAAACGAATGAATGAATGAATGAATGAATGAATGAATGAATGAATGAATGAATGAATGAATGAATGAATGAATGAATGAGTGAAGTTAATGCATTGATGAGTGGATGTATGAACGAACTCGCGAATGAATGAATGAATGAATGAACGTTTGAATGAACGTTTGAATGAATGAAATGATGAATAGGTAAATGAATGAATGAATGAATGAAAAACTGAATGAACAAGCAAGTGAATGAATGAGCGAATGAACGAATGAACAGGAACAAAAGAAGTTATCAGGCTTTTCAGAGATAGAGAGCAAAGCCAAGTACACACAGCTTGCTAGATCACTGCCCACCTATGGAATCGCCTTTTTCCTCGTTAAAGTCTGCCTATAATTTACTCTCTATTATAATTATTACTTATTATTTATTAATAATTATGGTTATAATTATGGTTATAATTATGGTTATAATTATGGTTATAATTATGGTTATAATTATGATATTATTATTATTTTTTTTTAGGAAAAAGTCAAGGGTAAAAATAAATTGACACCAAGTTTGCTAGGTATAACGAAGGAAAGTGTCGTGAAGATTGATGAAAAGAAGGAGGTGATTTATTCATTCATTCATTTATTCATTCATTCATTCATTTGTTTGTTCGTTTGTTCGTTCGTCTATCCGTCATCCATTCTAACGATTTTTCAGGTTGTTAAAACGTGGCCTTTGACAACTGTTAAGAGATGGGCTGCTTCACCCAATACATTCACTCTTGTTAGTTTTGATTGGTTGTTTAGTTGGTTGATTGATTGATTGATTGATTGACTGGTTGGTTGGTTGATTGATTGATCGATCGATCGATCGATTGATTGATTGATTGATTGATTGATTGATTGATTTGGTTGGTTGGTTGATCGATCGATCGATTGATTGATTGATTGATTGATTGATTGATTGATTGATTGATTGATTGATTGATTGATTGATTGATTGATTGATTGGTTGGTTGATTGATTGACAGGACTTCGGGGATTATGCAGACAGCTACTACTGTGTACAAACGATGGAAGGCGAGCAGATCGCTCAGCTGATAGCCGGCTACATCGATATCATCATGAAGAAAGTTAGCAGGGGGAAGATGACGACGACGACGATGATGACAATGATGATGATGATAACAGTGGTGATGATGACGATGACGACAATGATAACTTAATTGATGTTAGGTGTTTATTCTTTGATGAGGCTTTGTGATTATGTCCGGACCGATGTCATTCCATTATAAATATTTGCAGTTGGCTTGTTGTGGTTTTTTTTCTCTTTCTCGGCTCATTACTCCTTAAAAAATGACCCTGGTGATGACGACGATGATGGCGATGATAGTTATGATGATGATGGTGATGGTGATGATGACGTCAAAACTTAATGACGTCACGAAACGACAGAAACAGACGAGGGACCATCTCGGATTGGACGGTGACGAGGAATCGACCATGTATGAAGATAGCGTATCTCCCGCCAAGTACGGCGACAATGATGACGATGATGAGGATGATGATGGTGATGATGATGATGACGGTGCACATCTACAAACTTTCAAATTTTGTCTCTGACGTCCACTCATTTCAAAACTCCTCACGAAACGAAACGAAACAGGGCGACAATCATCCAGCACCAAAGCGTCGGTAGCGGGCAGGCGAGCTTAGGCAGTGTTGCACTCCCCGCCATCTTGAGATCAGGCGAGACGGCCAACGGACACCTAGCGAGCAACTCCATGCAACAGCAGGCCCAGTTTTCCAAAGTCTCGCTACTGGCTCATGCTGGCTATAGACTGCCTGCAGTTAGTGCCTGATTCGTCGTTTATCCATTCATTGATGCGTGTGAGGTGGTCAAGATCATAATTGCGATTATAACAATAATTAAAGTAATTTTAATTACTATTATAATTTTCCACTCACTTATATCATCCATCCAACTATTATCAATCCCATCCAACCAACCAACCAACCAACCAATCACACGCAGGGTAAGAACGCAGGTATGATAGGGCTAGGGGGTGCACAGCGGGCTCTGTTGGGTCGCATTGGCGCTGGCCTGACCTCTATGAAGGGCATACAGAATGACCTTGAGACTAAAGGTCAAGTACCTCAGCTTGGCACCGATCCTGTTAGTTATTTTATTCATATTTTGGATTCGTTCATTCGTTTGTTAGTTCGTCGTTCATTCATTTATTCATTCACTCGTTTAACTTTTGTTTCATTCATTCGTTCATTCATGATTTTTTTAGTTCATTTTAAAATTCCTTTGTACAAAATTTATTTATTCATTCCTTCGTTCGTTCGTTCGTTTGTTCGTTCATTTCTTTTTATCCTTCACAAGCACAGCTTAGTGAATGTTGCAATTATATACGATATCCTGTTCGCTACCTTTCTCTCTCTCTCTTCTCTCTCTCTCTTTCTCTCTATGTGTGTGTGTGAGAGTGTTTGTTTGCGTGTATGTGTGTGCGTGTGTGTGTGTGTATTTCTATATTACATGTGTTACATATATAATAATACTAATGCAGTATTTTGTGGATTTCCATGGCAGCGATGAATCGGTATTTTGAGAAATTTTGAAAAAATACGAAATTTTTATATTTATATAATTTAAAACAAATATTTATTTATTATTATCACCATCATTATTATGATTCATATTATTGTTGTTATTATTATTCCTGTTGTTAATTATTATTTTTACCCGCTTTTAATGGATTTGGATTTTTTTAAGTTTTAACATCAAAGAATTTATCCTAACAAACGATTGGCTGATTGATTGGTTGGTTGGTTGATTGATTGATTTGTTGGTTGGTTGATTGATTGTTTGGTTGAAAATTAATTATTTTAATTATTCACACCATTCGTTATTATTATTGTTATTTGAAGATTGAATTAATTGAATTTTACAACTGCTATTTCTACCTAATCTAGTGGGTTTGATTTGGTTTGCACTGTTCTGATCACCTAAAATTTCATGACTGATGTGTCTTTTCGTGATTTGTTAACTGTCAATCAATCAGTCAATCAACAAGTTGTTCGATCAATTTATCCATCTATCTATCTGTCTATCTATCTATCTATCTATCTATCTATCTATCTATCTATCTATCTATCTATCTATCTATCTATCTATCTATCTATCTATCTATCTATCTTTCTATCTATCTATCTATCTATCTATCTATCTATCTATCTATCTATCTATCTATCTATCTATCTATCTATCTATCTATCTATCTATCTATCTATCTATCTATCTATCTATCTATCTATCTATCTATCTATCTATCTATCTATCTATCTTTTGGCAACAGCACTCTTATGATTCAATCAATCATTTATTCGTTCTTTCAATTATTTAATCAATCTTATTGTATTTTCTTCAATGACTGAATCACCAATTAATTTATTCATTCGTTCATTTTTTATTCAATCAGTCAATCAATCAATCAATCAATCGGCCAAGCTGAATACAACACAATCCTACATACATAAATACACACATTTACATCCATACATACTCATACACAGGCTTCCATAAAATGGCGCGAGACGGCTATGGACAATTCGCGTCAGCGGCTAAGCGCTCAGCTCTCAGCCATGAACGCAGCTACAGCCCAAGTCGTCATGCTAACCAGAGATAACAACAATCCGGATAGCACAGACTATTCAGCCGTGGGATCGGCCGTGCAAACTATGTTAGTAATGACGTCATGGTTGTTAGTAATGACGTCACGATGATTGTGATGATCTTGATGATGGTGTAAATAATAGGGATGATGATGATCATTTACTCGTTCATTCACTCATTCATTCATTCATTCATTCACTTCAACTTCGTTTCTCATAGCTCAACTTAAATTGTCGTTGTTTACGTGAGACTACACTCGATTATTCATCTACTCTCACTCTTTCTTTCTTTATCTCTCTCTCTCTCTCTCTCCTTTTTCCCCCTCTCTAACTATCTGTCTAAATTTTTTCCTACAATCACTCATTCTCTCTTGAAACGAAACACAGCTCTGCCAACCTGAACAACTTCTCACAAGACGTGAGGATGTTGGCGGCCATGGAGGAGAACGAGAAAGAGGGCACGGCCCTCATGGGGGCTGCCAGGCTGCTGGTGGGGGCTTTCTCTGACCTCCTCATCGCCGTCCAGCCAAAGGTCGGCGATGCGGATGATAATGATGACGACCTGAAAGTGGCAGACAGAAATGTAGGAGTGGATTTTTTTTTCCGTAGTGTGTTTAGTAGTGAATTGCTTCTATCTGTCGTTGGTTTCGTTTGCTGTTGTTGTTCTTACACTTTGTTGTTTGTTTGCAATTTTAACACTCTACTTGCATCTACTTTTATTTGTTCCTTCTCTCTCTCTCTCTCTTTCTCTCTCGCCCTCTCTCTCTTTCTCTCTCTCTCTCTCTCTCTCTCTATCATATCTGTTTATTCTCTCTCTCTCTCTTCTCTCTCTTTCTCTCTCTCTCTCTATCTTATTTGTTTATTACTGCAATAAATATTACAATATTTAAAATTTGCTACTTCATTTGCATTATAAAATTTGCATAATCACTTATGAAAAATCTCCTAAATTTAAGTATTGTTATTATTATTACTATTATTACTATAATTATTATTACTTTTAATATTATTATTATAATTGTTGTTATTGTTAATTTTATTGAAAATATTTTGGCAATTATGTTTAATGTGTACAGTACAAACACTCCTTACTTATTTGCATCTACATAGGCATAATATTAATAATAATAATAGTAATAATAATAATAAAAATAATAATAATAATAATAGTCCAACAGAAGATCCCTAATAGTGAGTTTTGTCGCTTGGGTAATTTAAAAATGGGGGATCGATCTAGCTAGCAGCTAACCGCATTATTATTTAATTATACGCAATTTACAGAATGGCTGTGTTTGTGTACGTACATACATACATTCATACATACATACATACATACATACATACATACATACATACATACATTCATACATTCATACATACATACATACATACATACATTCATACATACATACATACATACATACATTCATACATACATTCATACATTCATACATACATACATACATACATACATACATACATACATACATACATACTTATATATATATATATAGTATACTATTTTTCAGTTTTTTATTATTGTTTGTTTTATTATTTATTTGTTTTATTATTTTATTAAATATCGTTTGAGTAGTAGTTTTTTTTCTGTCCCTACAGTTCACGATTCATTTACTTTTTTTAGGCTGTGGGTTTTTTTTTTAAATTTCACTATTTAGTATTTTTGTTCATGTGACCTCATCATTATCATCACCCTAGCAATCGTCCAAACTACCATCATCATCAGTATCTCATTATCATCAGCATCTCGTTGTCATCATCATCGTCATCGAGTTACCCACTAAGATTACGTCACCATCGTCGTCGCCAACATCCACCACCACCATCATCATCATCACCAATCTTTACCATCATCATCATCACCATCATCTTCCACACCATCATTCATCACCACCCCCATCAATCATCATCATGTCAGCCACGTCAGAACATATTGAACGCGGCAAACCGAGTGGGGGAAGCTAGTCAGGGCATCATGCTGTACGTCGAACCATGCTCTGATGAGGAAAATATCTACAAGGTTCATTATTATTATTATTATTATTATTATTATTATTATTACTATGATTATTATTATTATTATTATTATTAGTTGAAAAGCTAATAGATCTATCATCACCATATTACTACCAAAACCACCACTACTATCAGGAGAAGCTGATGACGTCGGCTCGCGCCGTGGCCACAGCTACGGCTAACCTCGTCCTACAAGCTAAAAACGTTTCGGCTCGGTGCAAAACCAAGGAGCAGCAGAGCCAGGTTATCGAGACGGCCACTCAATGCGCTCTCGCTTCGTCGCAGCTTGTCGCCTGCAGTCGCGTGGTTATGTCCACTATCGATAATGCTAGCTGCCAGGATATGCTCGTTGAGGCCGCCAAAATGGTCGCCAAGTCCGTTGATGACGTAGTCACTACGTCACAGGTCTGTCTGTCTGTCTGCCTGTTTGTCTGTCTGTCTATCTATCTTGAATGGAAGTTGATTAGATTGATTTGGATTAAAGGATAAGCTTGTAAGAAATGCGTACACGAAGATACGAATATTTAAACATTCATACATAAGCATACATACAAACGTACAACAAACACATACACACAAACAAACACATACACACAAACAAACACATACACACAAACAAACACATACACACAAACAAACACATCAAACACACATACACACAAACATACGAACGCAGGAAGTATGTGATGACGAGCCAACGTTGGCTAATCTCAACCAATCGGCAACAGTTGTGACAGAAACACTGGACAATCTTATGCAGCATGTTAAAAGAGGAACCATGCATAACGAAGGGGTTGGTTGGTTGGTTGATTAATCACGTCTGACTGACTGATTGATTAGTTGGTAGCTAATTGATTGGTTGGTTGATTAATTAGTTAGTTAATTGATTGAATGATTGATTAGAAAATATATTGGCTAATTGATTGGTTGGTTGATTAATTAATTAGTTAGTTAATTGATTGAATGATTGATTAGAAAATATATTGGCTAATTGATTGGTTGGTTGATTAATTAATTAGTTAGCTAATTGATTGAATGATCGATTAGAAAAAATATATATATTATTATTATTCATAATATAACTCGTTTATATTTATATTATTATATTTAAATTATAAATAATATAATTTATTTGTAATACCAGCTGAATCAGGTTGATACGATAATGATAACGACTGACAGACTGTGTAACAGCGTTGATAACACGCAAGAACTCGTCAAGCAAGCCAGACAACTCGCTCAGGTAAATAATAATATTAATAATTATAATAATAAAAATTATAGAGAGGAGAGAGAGGAGATGCCACTGCAGGACTTACTGCTACGTTGAAGTTGAACGCTGTACTTCTACGCCAGTCTGATACCTGATAATTATAGCTCTGATACTGATATAATATATTATTATAATGTATAATAAATTATGATAATTTGTAGGCCACCTCCTATTTGGTTAACTCGTTAAAAGTGGAAGCCGACCAGCAAAATGATTCTGATCGCCAGAACAAGCTGCTGTCAGCTGCTAAGATGCTTGCTGACGCTACCGCTAGAATGGTTGAAGCTGCTAAGGTGCTCCTGATAATGATGATGATGGTGGTGTGGATGGCGATGGTGATAATGATGTGGGTGGTTGTGGTAATGATGGTTTTAACGATGATGTGGATAATAATGATGATGGTGATGAGAATGTGATGCTAATTAACGTGAATTGTGCACGCTGCACACGCACACACACACACACAGGGCTGTGCCTCTCAGCCACAAGATGAAGCCAATCAGAGAGCTTTGAAGGTAGCAGCTGACGAGTTGAGGTCAGCTACGACCACAGCTGCTGTGAACGCTCTCAAGCAACCGATACTCACAAATCTACAGGTTAGTTGCTGCTGTCTGTTGTCGTTTGTCTTGTTGTCTTTATTGCTGTCTGTATTGTTATCGCTGTTTGGTTGCCTGTGCTGATGTATTTTTGGCACTTTTAGTTCTCTTTTAATGATCTTCTAATGCGAATAAAATATTTTCAATTTGGATTAATATGCTGAATAATTTTAGGGGTTAAAATTATCTTGCACGCTTAATCAATAAACAGCAAACTGCTAAGAACGCTACCTCAGCAGCCACACAGCTGATTAACGCAGCAACTGCCAGCAGTCCGTACAGCACGAACCAGCAGACGCATCAACAGCTGATTGGTCAATGCAATTCAGTCTCCGATGACGTCATACCTAAATTAGTGCAGGCTCTTCGCACTTCGCACAAACGCCCGGAAGACCCAAAATCTTTGAGTTCGCTTATTGACGCTGTGCAGGAGTTCATCGCTGTTAGTTTGCTGGTTGACTCATTCATTCATTCATTCATTCATTCATTCATTCGTTCGTTCGTTCATTCGTTCATTCATCCATTCTTTTCATTCATCATTCGAATCAACCAACCAGCCATGCAACAAGCTACTGACGACAACGAAAGCAGCCCTGCCAATGGTGACAGATGAATCGTGCAGTATCTGCTTGAATGGTGCCTCCAAGAACCTCACGTCCTCCCTGGCCGATCTCAGGTCAGCTGTGTTGAGGGCCCAGCAGGCCTGCACTGCCGCTGCTGCTGATAAACCGGAAATTGAACTGGCTCTTGATCAGGTGTGTGTGTGTGTGTGTGTTAGTTTGTAAGTGTATGTTTGTTAGTTTGTGTGTGTTTTGTGTGCGTGTGTTTGTGTGCGTGTGTTTGTGTTAGTGAGCTAATGTAATTATCCGCCAGTTGGTTATTTTTCAGGTAAAATCCCTTGAGAGAGAATTAATGGAAACTAAACAAACGGCCTTGAGTGGCAAACTGATGCCCCTGCCAGGCGACACAACTGAGATGAGCTGCTCACAGCTGGGAGCTGCCTCGAAAGCTGTCGCCACAGCTATGGCGCAGCTGCTAACAGCTGCTACGCAGGTTGATGTCGTTGGTGTTGTTGCATTTTTTGTTTTGGTGTGTTGTTTTATGATTGAGTATGTTGTTTTTCATTTATTCATTCATATGCTTGAATCTTCGAAATTAAAATTTGAAGATTAATTCTTGAAAGATAATTTGGCAAGTGACAACTTTTTATGCTAGTATTGACACCAATAATAATCCTCCACTACCACACCACAACGAAACACAGGGGAGCAAGGAGAACACCGGATCGTCTGCGTGCGATGTCGCAAAGCAACTAAAAAATTTATCGCGATCCGTGCGCGGTGTGGCCTCGACCACGAGCGACCAGGATCTAAAAATGGGAGTCATCGACAGAGGCATTGACGTCATACAGAAATCCGGAAGGCTAATCGAGGATGCTAAATCCGTCGCGGAGAAACCCAATGACGTCGATGCTAAAAATAGACTGGCCATGGTTAGAGTGTATAATTTAATTCGTCGGGCTCTTTCTTGCGTTCTACACTGACGATTCCAAAACTGAAATATTAATTAATAATAATTATTATTGTTATAATTAAGATTATAATTTGTAATTATAATTAACGTAGGCGACGAAAGTGGTGTCTCAGTCGTTGAGTTCGTGCGTCAACTGTCTGCCCGGTTTGAAGGATATCGATGCAGCGGCCAGGAAGGTTAGCGACGCCGAGCTGAAACTCAACAAAATTAATCAGGTAGGTGTCGCTTCTGTTGCTCTGATTGTAATAATATTGATAATAATTATAATAATTAATAATAATTATAGTAATTAATAATAATTATAATAATTAATAATAATTATTATTATTATCGTTTTTGCTTATTATTTGTTTAATTATTACAACCATTCGATCGGATAACTATAATTATTCCACACGACATCACACCCAGCAACCCGCAGTTGTCGGCATGAAAGCCAGTGAAGTAGCCGCAAGAGATACACAGCAGAGGCTGAACCAGGACGCTGCCAACCTCAACAAAGCTACCAGTGACCTCCTGCAAGCCTGTCAGAACCCCAACAACACCAGCGACAACAACAACACTGTGGCATCTTCGGCCAATCAGCTGTCGAAAATTTTCGAAGGTTTCATCGACGACGGCGTCAAGATGGCCGCCCAGACCAAAGATTCTGAATGTAGACATCAAATTGTCGAGGAGCTGCGTAACGTAACGTCTGCCACGAATAAATTTCTGGCCATGTCAAAATCAATCGTTACTGACCCGTCTGGACCTAGTGCTAAAAACTTACTGACGCAAGCTGCTAGGTGAAATCATTCGCCATAAATTTTTTGAGTTTCTGTACCATAATTATGTTATAATTAATTTTAATTATGTTTAAATTATAATTATTAGGATTTTTATCGGTTTTTTAATTGCAGAGCCGTCACAGATAGCATAAATAAGTTGATAGGCATTTGCACTGAATCATCGCCCGGACAGAAAGAATGTGATGGGGCTCTGAGAGAAATGCAGGTCGGTCGGTCGGTCGATTGATCGATTGATTGATTGATTATTGATTGATTGATTGATTGATTGATTGATTGATTGATTGATTGATTGATTGATTGATTGATTGATTGATTGATTGATTGATTGATTGATTGATTGATTGATTGATTGATTGATTGATTGATTGATTGATTGACTTTACCAGATGTTGAAGCCATTATTGCATGATCCGAATCAGCCAGTCAACAAGGAAAATTACTTTGAATGTTTGGACAATGTCATTGATAAATCTAAAGTAATAAATATTTATCATTTTTAAATTTAATTATTTCCTCATATTATTTCCAATTCATTTTCATCGTATTTAATTATTTATCTATAATAATATTAATAATAAAAAAAGGTTCTAGCTGAGTCTATGACTTCAATAACGGCATGCGCGCGTCAGCAAGATATGCTGAAATTTTGCACCAGCGTTGATAACTTCTCAAAATCCGTCTGCTCTATTGTGGAAAGTTCTGTTCAGGTGTGTGCGTGTGCGTGTGTGTGTGTTTGTATTGTGGGCGTGTGTGTCTGTGTGTGTTTTGTTTGTTTGTTTGTTTGTGTGCATGTTTGTAACCCACTACATGTTACTATAATAATTTAATCATGGTGTGATTTTGTGTTTGTGTGCTTTTTACTTATTTAATTATTAATACTCAGTTAGATGGGTAGCAGTAGTAATACCATTCATTCATTCATTTAATCAACCAATAATTCATTCATTCATTCATTCACTCAATCAATCAGTAGTATCATATCATTATCATCATTAATATTGTTAGGCTGCCTATATAGTGGGGATATCAGATCCGAACAGCGAGCCGATAGTTGAGGGGTTAGTGGATCAGGACCTCTTCCTCAGGGCTTCAGAGACCACCAAACAGGCGTGTGACGTCCTTGGGGATCGCTCGACCAATCAAGCGCAAGTACGTGCGTTTGCGAGTTTGTGCGTGTGTAGGTTGGTGTGTGTGTGTGTGTTGTGGTGTGTGTTAACCAGTCAATTTGTTGTATAAGTTACCGACCAACCAAGTTTAGGACATCTACTTCACCATCCAATCAAATACAATCATACATCTTTGAGAGCCTGTGAGAGTATATCATCAGCCAATCAAATCATCCAATTCTACGAACCGACCAATCAGATGCTGGCAGCTGTTTCTACGATAGCCCATCAGACGTCGTTGTTGTGCAATGCTTGTAGGCAGGCCTCGTCAAAGACAACCAATCCAGTTGCCAAGCGACAATTCGTCCAATCAGCGAAAGACCTCGCGAACAATACTGCCCAGATGGTCAAGTCTATGAAGGTATTGGGTGGTGGTTGTTGGGGCGTGATGGTGGTTTTAGTTAGTCAAACTTTTACTCCTTACCCATTTCCTCATCAATCCATCCATCCATCCATCCATCAACTCATCTACACCAAGGCTGCCTCGACGTCATCAGATCAACAGCAGCCGATCAACGTGATTGGCCACGACGCCAGTAAGCCCCTCCTACAATCACTAGATGTCCTCAATAATTTTGCCCTCGTTCCCGAGTTTGTTGGTACCCCGGCAAAGATTGGTCAACAGGTTTGTTGGTTAATTGTGATTGGTACGCTGATAGATTGGCGAGCTATGATTGGTTGGCTAACTGGTTGATGATATTTGAATGGTCGACGGCTGGCCGACTAGTGATTGATAGTTTTTTTTTATTTATTCATTCATTTATTCATTCATTCATTCATCTGCCTATCCATCCATCCATCCATACAACAACAGGGTAGGGCCGCTCAGCAGCCGCTAATGGAAGCAGCTAGAGAGATAGTAGACGGGGCGTGCGAGATGGTCTCAGCAGCTAAGCAGCTGGCCGTCAAGCCGAACGATCAAAATGTCTACCAAGCCTATTCCACACACTCGCATACGCTCTCTGAAGCTATGAAGAAGATGGTCACTTCTATGAGGTGAGGTTTTTTGTGGTTCATTCGGTACATTGTGTCGTCGTTTTAAATTGTTCGCCGCTTGTTTTGCCGATGTTTGCGTGGAGAAAAGTTTTGTTAGCGATTCGTTCGTAAGTGTTTTAATAAGCCTAATTAATATTATAATAACCTTCGTTAATATTCATAGGATTACACAACCTGGCCATAAAGAATGTGATTGGTCGATAGATCAGATCAACTTAATTATTCATGACATCGATCAAATCTCATTGGCTGCAGTCTCACATGACCCAATGCTGGCTAGCATGGGTGAAGGTCGAACTCTCGAGGCTTGCCATGAACAGGTGACGATGACGATGATGATAATAATATGATGGTGATAATAATAATATGATGATGATTACGATAATGATGTCTGGTTTTTCCCAAAAAGGTTATAAATAGCGCCAAGCAGATGTTGGACCTCGTTGAGCCAATCAAATTGGCCGCCAAGGGTGAAAGCGGGAATCTTGGCCATCTGGTGAATATAGAAAAAAACTTTTATTTCATTCATTTATTTTTTGGTCTCTTCTCCCATTTATACGATTTTTATACAAATTTTGTGATTTTTCAATCGGGTTTTGTTCCTTCGTTTCCAGCACTACTGATAGCATAACACTGGCCTCTGTAAAAAAAAAAAAAAAAAAAAAAATCAAATTAGGTCAATTCGGCCATTTCCTACATGACCCCATTCAAGATGGGGCTACTGGGCTGCGTGGCCAAGACGACCAACTCGAAGGTTCAGATGGACATCTTGGAGAAGTGCAAGACAGTGGCCGAAGCCCTCCAGAATCTCATCACGTGTGCCAGAGACTCTGGCGGAAATAAGAAGGTGGGGGGGGTGATTGTTGTTATTATTGTTATTAATGTTGTGGTTGTTGTTGTTTGTTGTTGTTGTTATTATTTATCATTGTCACAATCATCATCTCCATCACATCATCTCCACCATCATCGTCACAACAACCACCACCATCCAGGCCTCACCAGAACTGCAAGCAGAAGTTGATGACGCGGCGACAGAGACCGCAGATTCTATCAAAGAGATCATCGACACCATGGAGAAAAATGCATCGTCTAGTGGTGTCGTCTCGTCGCTACTCGCCAATCTCAATGAATCAGTCACTCAAGTAAGAAGGGGATATCTTGAAAAATATTACAATAGAATGGATTTTTATACCATAGATTATATATTTCCTTTAAAATTGGAATAAATGCCACATGTATTTAAATTATTTGGCGGGATAGCGCATATATCGCCCTATCTTGTGTTACTGTCGTTATTATTACGCGTTAAACTGCTTTGAATTGCTCTCTCTCTCTCTCTCTCTCTCTCTCCACTCTCTCTCTCTCTCTCTCTCTCTCTCTCTCTCTCACTATATGCATGTACAGTTTTAAAAGAAATTGCTCCGTGTGTTTGTGTGTGTGTGTGTGTGTGTGTGTGTGCGTGTGTGTGTGTGTGTGTGGATGTTACATGTACGTAACAGTTTAGCCTGATACGAACAAAAATTTTTTTTTAATATTATAATTATCATTTTCTAATTATCATAATATTATTATATAATAATAAAATTATTATTAATTATTAGTAGTAGTATTATAATTCTTATTGTTGCGGATAGATGGACGAGGAGATAAAAGGTAACACTGGTGAACTTTCGTTCGTCGAACATCAGACAAACATCGTTGCTATCGTCAAACAGCTAGCTAAGACTTCTCAAGAGATGGTTGGTTTGTTTGTCTCTGTCTGTCTGTCTGTCTGTCTTTTTTTTATGGACGTTGTTTTTGACGTGGATTTTAGTTTATCTTTAACGTCCTACCTCGGGGAACCGGGACCCTGGACGCAAAACGAAAATTAAATTTTAGTTTATCTTTTATAAGGCGGTAGTTGCAAACGATCTTAATCAAAAGCATCAACAACGATAAGTAGGAACAAAACAGACACACACACACACACACACACACACACGTGCACTCACACAACAACAACAACAGCACCAGGCATACGAAACAACAACAGCAGCAACAACAAACACACAACAACAACAACACAGCTAACTAGATCGGTGACAGACAACGCCCAGGACCTAGGTGCACTTGCCAACAACATAACCAGGGATTATGCTATGCTCGTTGAGGAGGGCAAGAAGGCATATGTCACCTGTCCAAATGAACAGGTATGTCCTTTTACTCATACACTCATTCGTCCATCCATTCATTCATTCATTCATTCTCTCATCCATCAATCCAGTCGTTCATTCGTTCAAATTCAAATAAAAATTTATTTTACAGATGGGCAATCGCATAAAAGTGACGATACAGCAGCTCGGCAAGCACTGCATCGGTCTGGTGCAGAATGCTGGCAGCCTACAGTGCAATCCCAACGATTCGTTCGCTAAGAAGGAGCTCGGCTCTCAGGCTAAGAAAGTTATCGAAGATGTTAGTTTGGTGCTGTTGGAGGGCTTGGTTGCTTCGTTGGTTGCTTCGTTCGTTGGTTAATTAGTCGGTTGGTTGCTTGTTTAACTTGTCGGATGACTGGCTAGCTGGTTGATTGATTGATTGCTTGTTCATCGTTTAGTACACCCCTACAAAGTCGATGAATTGAAGACGAACATGTATAAGATCACTTTTCTATTCTAACTCCTCCCACCAATTTCCCAACAACCAATGAATGACAGGCCACGGACATTATGACCATCCTGCAGTCCAGTGCCAGGGGAACGCAGGCCTGCATAACGGCAATCAGTACGATGAATGGAATCATGGCCGACCTTGACACGACTATCATGTTTGCCTCAGCTGGCACCCTGTCAGCTGAGTCCGCCGACTCGTTCTCTAATTATAGGTTCGGAGTTTTTGCTCCTGCGATTTTACATACTTTTTGTTTTATATACCCTTTGACGTAAATTTTCAATTGTATTAAAAATATCTTTCAACTTTGATGAACTTTTTCAGTTCTTTTATTCAATGCAAAAATAACAATAGTTGAGTTGTAGCAACAACAATAATAATAACGACAACAAAGAAATAAAAACCACAACAATTTCAGGGAAGGCATATTAAAGATGGCGAAAGAGTTAGTCGAAGATACGAAGACATTGGTGTCGGGTGCGGCCCTGAACCAGGATCAGCTGGCCGGAGCTGCCACCAAGTCCGTCACGACCATCAACAATCTCTCCGAATGTGTTAAGAGGGGTGCAACAAGTTTGGGCAGCAATCAGCCCGATGCACAGGTACGTAGTAGGGGAGTCTGGTTGTGATGAAGGGCTGGCTTACCTGTTGTGGGTTTTTTTTTGTAGGAGGGGGGTTATGTGGGAGTTATTGGCAAGAATGGGCTGTTTGTGAGTAGCTGTCACTTCGTTATAGCGATTAAAATTAATTTATCTATTCTAATATTGTTTGTCTAGTTGTCCATATTTGTCCGTTTATTAATTTACTGATCCATCTATTTATCCTATCCATTCATTCGTTCGTTCATTCGACCCCTCACCCATCCATCTATCTATCCATTCAGGTTTCCCTATTGAACGCAGTAAAAGACGTGGTGTCGGCGCTGACCGACCTGATAGGGGCAACGAAGGTGGCAGCCGGCAAGCCCCCAAGTGACCCATCCATGGTCGTTCTCAAGGACGCCGCCAAGGTCAGTGTTTTTAGATATTTGTAATATCATTACGGGTTTGGTTTCACACGACCAATTAGTAACTCAACCAATCGATCTATCTACCTGCCTATATTGAGTCATATGAACCGCCCAACCAACCTCCCAACTCACCAGACCATGGTCACCAACGTAACGAACCTGCTGAAGACGGTGAAGACGGTTGAGGACGAGGCAACGAGAGGTACGCAGGCTCTGGAATCATCCATCGAGGCCATACAACAGGAATTGAAGGTCAGGTCATCAGTCAATCAGTCAGTCAATCTGTCAATCAATCAATCAGTCAATCAACCAATCAGTCAGTCAATCAATCATTCATTCAATCAGTCAACCAATCTATCGATCAATCGTTCATCATAAGCTGCTTTGAATCTGGCTCCCTTAGTTCATCTGAGTCGTGTTCAGCTCTGTTTGAGCTGAGCTGAGGAGATGTTGAAGTTCAACGCTTATATATATATATATATATATATATATATATATATATATATATATATATATATATATATATATAGTTGCTCGCACACAAACACACATCCACCATGACATTCGATACGATACGATACATTTTATTTGTCTCCAAAACAAAGGAAAAAAGAAGACTCACATTCACATTCACTCGCATATACACACGTACGCAGACGAAACGAGACAAAATTTTATTCAGTAACAAACACTCCCAAGAGAAATAACGTTACAGGACTGTGCAGAGTAAAACGTTAAAATCTGTCAATTGCACACACACTCACACACATTTAACGAAACACCCACAACATACATAACAGAAATACACACGCCTACATACGCAAACTAACACACACATTCACACACATTCACACACACGCACACAGGCATATGCAGTCATCGACCGTTTCGAGAAGGCAGTCTCCCCGGACTCCATTATCCAGATCACGCGTCCCATCACCATGGCCACTTCGAAAGCTGTGGCAGCTGGTAACAGCGGCAGGCAGGATGACATTATCGCAGCTGCTAATTTAGGTCGCAAGGCCATTTCTGATTTGCTGAAGCACTGCAAGGTGACCTAGTTTGTTTTTTTCTTCCTTTTAATTCCTTTTAACATTTTAAATCGCTGCTGATGCTACCACTACTAGTACTACTACTACTACTGCTGCTACGGCTACTACTACTACTACCACTGCTGCTACTGCTACTGCTACTACTACTACTACTACTACTACTACTACTACTTCTACAACCACTACTACTACTACTACTGCTACTACTACTACTACCGCTACTACTACTCATAATATTAATTTGTAATAATGACGTCAGGGAGGAGTGGTGAACGTGGAAGACAGGCAGCTGAAGCAGAGGATGCTGGACGCTGGTAATGTATGTGCACATTCGTACCGGGAACTACTCATTAATATTCAGCAGGTGTTATTAATATTCATAAGTTATTATTATTGTTGTTGTTGTTGTTAATATTGTTATTATTATTAGTAGTAGTAGCAGTAATAGTCGTCGTAGTAGTAGTAGTTGTAGTTGTGGTGGTGGTAGTAGTGTACTATAAATCTTCTGATTATTCGTTTTGCAGTTTTCATTGGCCTCTCAATAAATGAATAAATCTATATATGCATGAACGAACGAATGAATGAATGAGCGACAGATTGAATGACTGAATGAATGAACGAATTAATGAATTCATGTACGAGTGTATGTTAGAAGAGAGGAACGATTGAGTAAATAAATTAATTAATAAATGTAGGTATTGGTAAATCTAGGTTGTTTATAATAATAATGGATGAACAAGCTAGTAAATGAATGAATGATAGAATTACATAATAAACTATGCTAATTTATGCTAATTTGTGCTACTAGATCCATCAGAAGCCAATCACAGCTGAGCTGAAGCAGCAGCTGGCCATGACTTCAAAAAAAGTTGCCCAATCGGTTACTGAAATCGTTCATGCTGCTGAAGCTATCAAAGGTTGATGGTTGTGATGAAAGGATGATGATGATGACGATGACGATGCACACATACACACTCACACACACTCACACACAAACACAAAGGAATGGACTGGTTTGACCCACAAGACCCAAGCACTATAGCTGAGAACGAGCTGCTAAGTGCTGCTAACGCCATTGAAGCCGCCGCTAAGAAGCTAGCTTCGCTACAGCCTAGGCTAAAACCTAAGGTGAATGAATAATAAATAAACAAATGAAATATATAAACAAACAAATCATCAACCGATTGGATGAATATATTATAATAATTATAATATTATAATTTTTCCAGCAAGTGGATGACTCGTTGAACTTCGAGGAGCAGCTTCTTGAAGCTGCCAAATCCATAGCAGCCGCAACAGCTGCTCTCGTCAAAGCTGCTTCAGTCGCTCAGAGGGAACTCGTCATGCAGGACAAGGTATCTCATCAAGGCTGAATTATATTCTTCTTTCTTGTAATTTCATTCCATTGTTATTACTCCACTAAGTTGAAACGCTGTATTCCGTTACGCCATATGAATATATTTGATTGATTGATTGATTTTTATTATTATTATTATTATTGCCACTATTGTTATTGTTGTTGTTGTTGTTAACATTTCATTAGCTTGGAAAGGTGAGCAGTGACGATTACGATACAGACAGTCAATGGTCTCAGGGACTGATATCTGCCGTTTGTATTGTTTTCAATTTGTCTCTCTCTCTCTCTCTTTCTCTCTCTCTCTCTCTCTCTCTCTCTCTCTCTCTCTCTCTCTCTCTCTCTCTCTCTCTCTCTGTATTTTGTCTGTGTGTGTGTGTGTGTTTATTTGTTCGTTTGTTTGTTCGTTCGTTCGTTTGTCTTTGTCTGGGTGCCTGTCTGTCTGTTCATGTCTGTTCATTTTTTTTTCATTTCACTTTTCTTTCATGTATTTGTTCGTTTATTCTTTATTTCTTTCTCTCTTTCATCATTTCATTTTTATCATTCCCAATTAAATCCACATTTAAACAGTGATGACATTTTAACTTTTTCACCCGCCCCTCCCCCTCAACAAAAACCAGGCGCGAATGGTGGCAGCGGCTACTCAAAGTTTGTGCGACGCAGCTAACGCCATGGTTCAAGGTCAGGCTTCTGAGGAGAAGCTGATTTCGTCGGCCAAGCAGGTAGCTGCTTCGACGGCCCAGCTGCTCATAGCTTGCAAGGTCAAGGCCGATCCCAATTCACAGGCTATGCATAGGCTGCAAGTTCGTTTAAGTTCTATTTTTATCTGCAGTTGTTTTTCATTTGTAAATCAAACCGTTAATTAATTCGTCGATTCATCCATTTATCCGTCCATTCATTTCATCATGCATCTATCCATTCATTCCATCGTGCATTCATTCATTCATTCATTCCACGTAGAACGCCGGCCACGCTGTTAAGAAGGCGACGGAGATCTTGGTGATGGAGGCGCAGAAGATGAAGAACGAGGCAGAGGATGAAGAGAGCGTCACCACCGTCAACAACAGGATGGTCACTGATATGGCTCAGGTTCGTTTCTATCTGTCTGTCTGTATGTCTGTATGTCTGTCTGTCTGTAATTTTTTCCGTGAGTTTATAAAAGTTGTTTTATTTCTCAGATCATAATGGCCCAAGAGGAGATATTGAGGAAGGAGAAAGAGTTAGAGATGGCCAGGAAGAAACTTGAGACCATCAGGAAAGCTAAGTACAGACCTACTGATGAAGTTTAAGAAGGTCAAGGAAGTGGCTTTATTTGTTAGCATTTTATTTAATGTTGTTGTATAGAATAATTCCTCATAGATCTGTGTCCATGTGCAATAATAATAATGAGAACATACTTTTATTTACCGAAAAGATAAAATCCAAATTAAATCAATCGAAAATTATTAATTATATATTAATATTAATATATTATTAATCAAAGTGCAAATAAATAAGATGAAAAATATAATGTACGATCCTCTCGTGCTCTCCAATCAGCAAGTGCTTGAGAGTAAAAAATATATTTAAAATCGGTTAGGTAGTGCTTCTGTCACAATATATGCTATATGACGAGCGAATTACCGCGTTAATCAATTTTTCATTAAAAGATATCGGCCATAAAATTATAAACAAAGTTAGATAAAAATTGTTATAAAAACCCGCAGGTAATATTTCAAATGAATTGATAATTAATGAACGTTTATTATTGATTGAATTTAAGTTTAATTTCAAGTTTTTATATTTCTGGCGTTTGTATTAACGTATTATATTATTATTATTTAGTGTAATAATGTTGTTGTTGTTGTTGTTGTTATTATTATTCATATTATTACTATTGTTGTTATTCTTATTATTATTATTAAAAATTGACTTAATGATTGACTGAATGAATGTGTCGTGAGTCGGAAAGGTTATCCATTTCAAATGAGTGAATGAAGGAATGGATGAAGGAAGGAATAGATGAATAAATGAGGTAATGAATGATTGAATGTGGTATTATATAAATGAATGAAATAGATTTTGTTATTTATGACACTTAATTTTATTTTATCAGCACTCTAAAGCAGCATAAGGTTTATCTTTCAAGTTTTCTCTCTTTTAATTAATCTTTCGTACCTTCGTTCGTACATTCATTCATTCACTAATTCATAAATGCATTCATTCATTCATCATTAATTTGCTTCTTCATCATTCGATCGATTCATTCAGACGTTCATTTATTTATCTGGATACATTTATATAAAACATACGGTTTATTATATATGTATATATATATATATATATATACATTAAAACAAACTTTAAATTGATTAATGTCAACAATTCGGTATAATTCATCCAATACTGTAAAATATATAAAATATATATTTATGTGCGTGTGTGTGTATGTGAGTGTGCGTGCATGTTCGAAATCGCTAAAATGTCTGCGTGAATTAGGATTTAAAGCTTTATTGATTCATTTTGTCTCTACTATTTTCAATCATTCCTAATTCTATAACCGGACTAACATATATATACATAGATATATATATATAGGTATATATATATACATATATATATATATAATAATTCTCTTTCACTGATTGGACAGTATTTTTGCAACATTGCCTAACATCGTCCGCGTTACATACAGATCCGTGTCTTCAGGCTTGCTTAACTATGATAAATGATTCAGCTTTAGCATGGTTAGCAAGTTCGCCGCTGATATTGGTAGTTTTACCGATTTCTGTAATAATTTCAGTACTCATGGTAAACTAAATCAGGCTTTGTGGTCTTAGTTGCTTAATTCGTTGGCGTCTGGTATTTTTTAAACTTCGCGTACTCTATGCAACTCTTCAGTACTATATACATAAATATATATATACGACTTTTGAAACTTTTTATATATACGTCAGTGTTGTATAAGTACAAATATATGAGTATATATATATACATATACATTCGTTTGTATAGATCTGAATTTACATAAATTCATATATTAGTACTTGTGTACATTTCTTATGTAATGGCCTTTCCTATCGTCCGCTTTACTTTTTAGATATTTTAGAGAAGTTCTCGAATCTGTGAAAGAAGAAGAAGATTATGAGATACACACACACACATACATACGTACAAACACAGAGATACACACACATACATACGCTACGTACAGACACGTACAAACATACAATTAGCCGATGTTATTTTCTAATACATTCTTAGGTTTATTTTCTGTCGGGTGTCGTTTGTCTGTAGTGGGTGCCTTTTTTTAATTTTAGCATTCAAATTTTACAAAAAGAATTTTTTTTTCTTGATGTAACATTAAGAACATTAATGATGACGTTTCTTTATTTTAGAATAATCGGGTCTGTCAATTAATTAATTTATTTATTTATCTATTCCATTTATTTGAAAAATTAGTTTTTAAAGAAATTTCGTCTAACAAAAATTTATACAATCTCAATCAGACTTACATGAAGCCTATTTCATCCTACATTACACTTTTCCAACGATGATTTCATATTTTGAGAAAATTCTAAACTTTTCACCGTACGATATACTATGTTTATTACTACTTGTGCTAATGTAGTTGGGAGTACTAGTACCTAAGATCGTACTGTCAGTTTTTCATCACTTGTATTTTACTACTACTGCACTATGCTCCTTATACTGATGCTGTTTTCTTACAGTGCAATTCTGTCTGCAACATTTTTAATGAAGTTAAACTATTGTATACATTTCCTACATAATATTATTATTACATCAATGTGTATGTATGTATATATATATATATATATATATATATATATATATAGAGAGAGAGAGAGAGAAAGAGCGAGAGAGAGAGAGAAAGAGAGTTTCTTGTATAATTGTATGTTGTATACTATGTTTGCTTTATTCCTTTTATTAGTTTAGTTAAGTTATCAACGTCATTCATTGAGACATTTTAGCAAACGTTTTTAATTAATTCATTTTTTTAATTTTAAAGGTTACTTTGATTTAATAAATAAACAAATAAATGGTGAATTTTGAAAATTTTGTGAGTGCGAAAATGCTTGTTTGACAAAAAAAATTGAAAGATGAGCAAATTTGTGAGCACATCACTGATTATATCTGATTTCAGTAAATACATGTTGTCCCTAATCAACTGCCAATTTCAATAGTTGCCATCGTTCAGAGTAAGCCGACCTGTGTAAATGGAAGGAAAAATTGCCAATGTCAACCTTCATTTGCTAGCAGCAAAGGTGATGGAATAATGTTGAATGCTTTTTCTAGAAAACATTTGTAGCATAAATAATGTTTTAAACTAAGTGTCAATTTTTTGTAATTTTGTTTTTTCAAATAAATCATGTTTTTGCATTAATAACCACACAATTCAATGTCATCTGTTGTTTCATTGTGTGCAATTAAAAAAAACAAAACTAAACATTTCTTAGACAATGTATGACTCTAGAAAACACACACATACAAATATATATATATATATATATATATATATATCGCTTTCCAAGAACATATATATAGATATACATTTTGCATTATATTATACAATAAATATTATTTATTAAAAATAATCAGTTATTTAATGGCTGTCTACTACTGCTGCTGCCATTAGAACTAGTGCTAGCAGAATTTGTTGGATCGAGGAGAGCTTTTTTCTTGGCAAGTTCTTTGTTGACGTGGGTCTGAAGTCTGTTCAGTCGATCCTGAGCGTTCTGAAGGATGTTGTTCGCCAACATCACTCGACGTCGAGCGTTTGTTAATTTTTTCAAATATGGTTCCAGTTCCATTTTTGAGTTTTGGAGTTCGGCGATTTTTTTCAGATCATCTGCTAGCGTTTCTATACTGTGGCGTAGTTCCATTTGACTCTGACGAACGGCCAGTACACGCTCGTCAAGTTGGCCGACGGCGGGTTTGAATAATTCCAGCAGGCCATCCGCAAAAATTTCGTTCGTTCGCTGGTCTTCCTCATCAATCTGAGCTGATTCGGCCATTTTGGAAAAAGAAGTGGCGTTCAAAATGAATACTATTGAAAAGTTTATTGCGTACGAAAAGCAAAACTATTCGTTTACTTCAGCATGTTATAAATTTTGTTTAGTAAATATTTAAATCACTAAGAGGATCGAAGCAAAGTTCATATTTTGTCCATTGCATTGTTTGTTTACAATTTTTGGAGATGTGCGTTTGTAAAATTTTGCAGGAATCAATCAATCAATCAATTAGCTTATAAAGCGCTATTTCCGCGATGTTCAACAGCGCTCCTCAATGAATTTTGAAAACAGATGAGTCTTGAGATCCGCTCTGAACTTCGCAAGTGATGGAGAAGTAGTCAAAAAAGTAGGTAGAGCAGATACGTACATAGAAGAATGATATGTTTTGTTTTTCATTTTTATTGTTTTGTTTTTATTGTTTATTAGTTTTTTGCACGGAACAATTTAAAATATAAATGACACAGCGCTATAAAAACGACACATTATTGTTATCATTATTACCATGAACAAAGTATACATAGTTAGGCTGTACAGTGTACAACACTGATAGAATTGTGTCGGTAAAATACGAAACCATTCCTTAATCTTTCACTTTTAAAATTTGTATAGAGTTGAACGGCGGAATTTTGTTTATTTCATAGTCTTCATATCTTCCACTATTTGTTTTACGATGGATCCAGATGATCAGTTCGGAACAAAAAAAACGATGCTGAAATTAGGATTGGCCGCTGATTACTACGCCGTCGTATGCCCCACGATCGCACGTCACTACATGTCAGTTGGTCCAATCCAAACTTTCATTACATTACTACATTTTTTAATTTAATTTTAGCAGGTCCCACGATTTTTCAAAAAATTTTTTTTTGTATATAAACTACTTTTTCTTATAAAGCAAAATTTGCTGATTAAAATAATACCATATTTATTATTGTAGCATTTATTAATTAATTGAATCTCTGTTCTTACTCAACTGAATTTTTAATTTATTTTATTTTACATACTTTTGTATAAATATTAATATTCATTATTAAAAGTAATTAATTAAATCATTAAAACCACTGATTTAAGATTGCAATATTATTTCCAATGATGATTCAAATCAAAAAAAAAATCATTAAACAAAATCATAAATTTATTTATTTTTCACCATAAAAAATATTAATGTTGCGCTTTTTTATTTTTAAACTTGAATTATTTATCATTCATTATTTAGAAAACGAGCCAGCGAACTGCACAGTTTAGCAGGTTGTTTCTTATTCACTTCATTCATAATTTCTTATCTAATCTAATCTAATCACTAACCTAACTGAACATTATATAAACAATATTATTACAATTAAAATTGATTTTATATTATTGCTAAATTTATATATATATATAAGAGTAAGACTGTCAGAAATATAATTATTGATGGAAATCATAGCATGTTTCTCGTTATTTAGTTTCTTGTTTAATTTTTCTAATGGTAGATCATAAATCATTGTCAAGTTTTTTGAGTTCAAAACCAAAATATATAATCTAGAATTTTCTGTTAATCATACAATAAACTTTATATATAAAATATTCAAAGATCAATTTTTTTAACCAAGGTTGGAAAGAGAAACCAACAATGAAATTCTGCCCAAACTGTGCAACCGTCTGGAGATGCGACAACGTAAAAATAGCCTTCAAACCACGAATAAAAGTTAACCAAAGATTAAAAAAGTTACTTGAGAGATCAGAAAGAAATAAACCATTGAGCAAGCTGCAATCAAAGTATGTCTCTTTATACAAAGAAGGCATGAATAGAATGGTGAGCCATTGGAAAATTTTATGAATGTATGGCCACAATTTAAATATTACAGATAAATATTATTAATAACTAATAACCAAAAATAATGAATACTATTGTAATATTGCGTAATGATAACAATAGAAAATGATAAATAGATATATATTACAATGTATCAACTAATTACTCTATTACAATACAGGTCTACGAATGTTTGGTCTGTAGCAAGAAATCTATTCAAAAAGTTGTAGGCAGACCAAAAAAGTCAAAACAAGTCAAACCTGGTGAGAAGAAATTAGGTAAATTAGTGATTGAATAATATTTCAAACACAGATCTTAAAAATTTTTTTTTAAATTGTAATTTACAGTTTTACGTTATATTTATTTGTAAATAATAATTAGGGAATAATATATTCAATGGGTCTGACGAAATTTAATTGAAAAATGACAATTAAACTATTACTACGTAACAATGACTGTTGCAAAATAAATTGAATTTAAAAATAAAATACTTATGAAAAGAAAAACATCATAGCCATAAATATTTGATCACTATTTTTGTAGAACCTTCTAACCCAACGAAAAATGGTACAAAGAAGATGAAAATTGACAACACCCTAGACAAAAAAGTCACAAACACAAAAAAGAAACAGGCCCCGAAGAAAAGATCGCTTCTCGAGTGTCTCATGAATGACAGATATAATTTTCAGGTTACTCATTGATGAATTTATTAAGAGGCTTTCATTATTATCATCATTATTTATTTATAATATTATCACCAACATCCATTGTTAACACTATTTGCAGCAGCTCATTATAAACTAAATACTTTTGAAATGTTTTTGACAATAAATACTAATCATAATTAATTAATTACAATTAATTATAATCAAAAATTATTGTATTAATCGTTTTTATTCATTTGTATTTTGACAGATGGTCACATCTGCAGGCATGAACAAATAGCGTGAATGAATATATATATATATATATATATATATATATATATATATATATATATATATATATACTTTTACAAGTTATTTGTAATGAATATATAAAAAAAACTTGAAGAAGCTACAATTGTGTTCATTTTAGAATCTAAATAATTAAAAAAAAAACAAAAATATAGATGTTAATTGTTTCAATAAAGCATTGAAAAGTTGAAGCTGAGAGGGTATAAATCATTGTTCAATGGATGACGACAAAACAGCAAGTGACACAGAGTTGACTTTTGGCTTCCTGGCATTAACAATCATGTGCATCGGATGCTCGACTCTGATAGTGTAGAAATCAAATGAGTCGCCTTTGTATGAAAAGTTTATTCTGTTCAGTCTTGGATCCGGAATGGCTATTGAGTCATCAATTTTGACACCCCATCCATGGAGAGCGTTGTACACTGTGACTGCTGTAGAGTCTTCATTCTTATCCACTATTGAGAATGTAAAAGAGACTGAGCTATTGTTGAACAAACTGCCTACAACCTTACCAAGTAGAATTGTTTTGGGGTTGGGACCTGTATTCAAATCTTTTAAATTTTTTACAGAATAATCCCCATCCTTCAAATAAACAGGTAAGTGCGAACCCAAATGTAACTCTGGAGTTATTTTGCTAACAAATGTCTTCAGTCTTTTTCCTTTAATGTTACCTTTTGTTGAGAGCAAGTGTGTTGTTTCCTTCAAATATTTCACCAGTTGACTTTCCTTTTGAGCTGCCTCTTCGAATGTTGGTTGCAGTCTCAATGCCACGTCGTAATCTAGGAGGGCTTTCTCATATTCTTCTAGATATTCATAGACAGTTCCCTTATTGTAGTGCAAATCATAAGAATTACATGCCACTGGGTCTGTCTCAGCTCTGATGTATGCAGATAATGACTGCTTCATTAAATTAGGATTTTGACTGATGAAATATTTGGCCAGGTTGGCATTTCCAAATGTGAGCCAGGAGAATCCATCCGTTAAATCTAACTGGAGAGCTTCTTTGGCTAGATCAAGGCTGGTGTCAATATTTTTTAATCTTTCTTCCTGATCTTTCCAAGTTGATCTTGTAATTAGTGAAAGATTCCTCAGTGATGCTTTGTCTTTTTTGTGGTTTAACGAAGCCAGGAAACAATTTTTTGCCCCGTCCATGTCTTTTTTTGTCCAGTACAACTCGCCCAGGCAGTTCCATGCCTCTGTTAATGTGGGGTTCAATTTAACAGCTTTTGATAGCAATTCCTCTGAAATTTCCTGACGATCGGTCGCAACACTCAATGCCTTGCCACGAAGCATTAGATATTCGGCTTTATTTTTCGTTTCATCATCGAGGCTGTCCAATTTGGCCAGAACTTCGTCCAGTCTTTCCTGAATGAAGTGTTGCTTTTGTCCTGCGCATGAGACGTCATGTTTAGTGAAAAAATAATCGCGATAATGAATTAAATCTGCTACCATTGAGTTTATTTCTTCCATCATATTAATTTTTAAAATTGAATGATGACTTTGACTGCTTTTTTTTGGTAAAAAGGCGAAACTTGATGAGGTTGCCAACGAAAATGTAAACAAAACTAAGTGTCCACTTTTAAATTTTTATTTTGTAGGTGCGTTCATAAAATAAATAACGTTAAAACATCCGATAAATCAAGCATAATATGAGAAAGCAATCCTAACTTGAATTCTTCAAAAGATGGATGGTTTGAACTCCATGAAGTCATTTAAATTAACGTTTATTTATAACAAAGTACTCCATTCAACTCATCAACCATTTAAAAGAACTTACAACAACAAGATTTTAGTATATAAGTTAGTATATTTTGTTTTGTAGACCAATACAGATGCACTGATACCTCACTTCATTGCAATTTAAATATAATAACGTTATAAAACAATGAAACATTTGCTTGAGTCAATTTTACGTCACAAGAATCCCCTGGTCTTCATGCTATAGTGACTGGGTACGAACGCAAGAATAATCCTCGCCTATCGCATACAATCAATTAATACTTGCTGTGTGTGTGTGTGTGTGTGTGTGTGTGTGTCTTTGTATGCGTGAGTGTGCCTGCAGTAAGATCTACAATTGCACAAACACAGACAGGTTTATACATACATACATAGAATATATATATATGAATGATTCGGAGACCAAAAAAAGAAAATTAATTCTTGTGGGCTATATATATATATACATATATATATACATATATATATATATATATATATATATATATATATATATACATATATAAATATATATATATATACAAATGTACAACATGCAACACTTATAGCCTAATAAACACTTGCATAGCTCTTCAAATTAACGAGGTGAGAGAAACATACACACAAATACACAAACACACATACACACGCACACAAACGCATGCATTTATACATATAAGCATACATCATTACATACACACAAATACATACACACATACTTGTGTTATTCCATGCCACCTTGCATTCAAAAGTTATCTAATAACAACAAAAAACATGATATAAATACGTATATTATATATATATATATATATATATGTGTGTGTGTGTGTGTGTGTTTGTTTGTTTGTGTATGTGTGTTTGTTTGTTTGCGTGTGTGTGTGTGTTTGTGGTGTGTGTGTGTATCTATGTATAGAACATTATTAGTGTTTCATGCTCCTACTTATCAGAAAACCTTTGCTAAACATAACATAACAATCTTTGGAGGATAAACTACAATAACATCACAGATAACTTTGTATGCACTTTTGTATATATGTTTGTCTATACAATCATATACACAAATGTATATATGTATTTATGTTTCTTACAATACTACTGTATAAAATACGGTCTCCTCCAACGGTTATATGTATGTATGTATGTATGTATGTATGTATGTATGTATGTATGTATGTATGTATGTATGTATGTATGTATGTATGTATGTATGTATGTATGTATGTATGTATGTATGTATGTATGTATGTATGTATGTATGTATGTATGTATGTATGTATGTATGTATGTATGTATGTATGTATGTATGTATGTATGTATGTATGTATGTATGTATGTACGTACGTACGTACGTACGTACGTACGTATGTATGTATGTATGTATGTATGTATGTATGTATGTTTGTATGTAAGTGTGTGCGTGTGTATGTGTAGATGGATTTGAATGCTTTCCGTATTCTGTTGCTCAGAGTTAGGAGAAAATTTACATTTGCACTATTACAGCTCTCTAGTGCAATATAATAACAATAATAAAAAAAATTATTGTTATTAATATAATTTATAATAATAATTATTATTATTGTTGTTGTTGTTGTTGTATAATAATAATAATTGTAATTAATTTTTTTTTCGTTTAATAATGGTGTAATATTTTCGAAGTTTTAATATAATTCGCTAAAAAAACTTTCTTATTATCTTTGCTATTTTATTTGGTTAGCAATATTTTAATTAATTAATTAATTATTAATAATAATTGTTATAATAATAAAAAATAATAACCTCTTTATTTTTTAGCATAAATCTTCGAGTTTTACTTTTCATATTGAATCATTTCCTGGTAATATTGATCCGAATTAATTTTTATTTAGAGAAATTTTTCTGAAAAACACTAACTATAATAATAATAACAATAATAATAATAACAATAATAATAATAATAATAACAATAATATCGGCAACAATAACAACAGCAGATAACATCAACAGCAACAAAAACATCAACAGCAACAACAACAAAATCATCAACAACAACATCAAAAATAATAATATTAATAAAATTTTTTTTCAAAAATGGCATTAAGAGCGGGAAAAGTTGGAGATGCTTTGGAACTAGAAATGAAACGACAAAGAGTTAGTTGATGTTTTGTTGTTGATGATGTTGCTGTTGTTGTGAGTTGATGTTGTTGATAATGTTGTTGTTGTTGCTGATGTTCTTGTGAGTTGATGTTGTTGACAATGTTATTGTTGCTGATGTTGTTGATAATGATATTGTTGTTGTTGATGTTGTTGTTGATGATGTTGTTGATGATGTTGTTGATGATGATGTTGTTTTTGTTGATGTTGTTGTTGCTGTTGATGATGATGCTGCTGATGATGTAGTAGTAATAGTAATAGTGGTGGTGGTGGTAGTAGTAGTAGTAGTAAATAAGTAGTAGTAGCTGTAGTAGTAGTAGTAGTAGTAGTAGTAGTAGTAGTAGTAGTAGTAGTAGTAGTAGTAGTAGTAGTAGTAGTTCACTTCAAATTCAAGTTTACCATGTCTGAGTTAAATTTATGAGCTGCTAAACGTTCAGACTTTTAACGATGAGAGAATCTTTCAATAGTTCCTGTGGCCAATGAATGAATGAAAAAATGAATGAATGAATGTATGAACGAACGAACAAACGAACGAACGAACGAATGAATGAATGAATGAACGAATGAACGGAACGTACAAATAGCAAATAGTAAGCGAACAGATAATTAAATGAACAAATGAATGAGAGAATGAAAAAACAACTAGATAAATGAATGAATGAAAGAATAAATGAATGAAAGACGGAATAAATAAAGGATGATTTGCTGTTCATTGCTTTCCAACAGTTGTTTTATACATAGAGGCAGACTGGTCTAACTTTTTTTTCATCCGTCAATCAAACAACATCTGTATTGTAATTTGCTGATTATTTTTATTGTTATTATTATTATTATTAACTCTTAATTCATTAATCTCAGCGGTTTTAACCACACGCACGCACACACACACACACACACACACGCACACTCGAACGCACACGCATACTGATTTCATATATACAAATAGATTCATAAATACACACAAACACACACACACACAGAATATACAAACAAATATCCAAACATACACACACACAGACATCCACTTAGCACATACAAACAAACGCCCAAACATACAAACACACACACACAGACATACTCGTAGCACATACAAATAAACATACAAATACACACAGACATCCACAACACATACAAACAAACACCCAAACATACACAAACACACATCTACACACAAATATACACAGACATTAACATAACACATACAAACAAACACCCAAACATACACAAACACACACACCTACACACAAATACACACAGACATCGACATAACACATACAAACAAACAAGCATACAAACAAACAAACATACAAACACCCAGAGATACGAAAAGGAAGAGGAACTTGGTTTGCCACAGAACATAGCCGAGTGGATAACGAGAGTCGTCGATATCAATGTCACGCCTCCTGCAAGTCAATTCGTTATTTCGAAATTGTTTAATCTTTTGTTTCGATATAACAGGGTATTTCGCGGTATTAAACAAGTTAATTCAAATGTATTTTATTTCGATATAACCGAGCACTTCGCTAAGTTGATTCAAATGTATTTTATTTCCATATAACTGAGCATTTCGCTAAGTTGATTCAAATGTATTTTATTTCGATATAACCGAGCACTTCGCTATATTAGACAAGTTGATTCAAATGTATTTTATTTTGATATAACCGAGCACTTCGCTATATTAGACAAGTTGCTTCATAGACATTTTATTTCGAATTTCAGTATTATTAAGCAAATATTTCAACATAACCTTGTATTGTATCACCACATTGTGTTCATTCTGATCTAAGAAGATATCTCAACATAATAATCGAGTACTTCAATACAATAAGCATATATTTTGTGGGAATAGGCAAGTATTTTTATATTCCAGTCCAGTATTTCAATTTCACTTGATAAGCTAAGCAAGTATTTCAAACAGTAAGCAAGTATTTTATAATAGCAGTTAAGTATTGGCATATGGCAAGCAAGTATTTCAGTAGGACATTGTAATCAGGAAGAAACTTTATACAATAAGCTGGTATTTTGTAGTTTTTCAATTCAAACGCTTAATTTTTTGTTGTAAACAAGTTATATAACCTCATACATTAATATTCTCTAATTATTATTATTATCTGAATTATTATTTTTTGTATTATAATTATTATTATTATTATTATTATAGTTATAATAATAATTATTATTATTATATTATTTGCTAAAATAGGGCTGGTATTTTGTAGTTTTTCAATTCAAACGCTTAATTTTTTGTTGTAAACAAGTTATATAACCTCATACATTAATATTCTCTAATTATTATTATTATCTGAATTATTATTTTTTGTATTATAATTATTATTATTATTATAGTTATAATAATAATTATTATTATTATATTATTTGCTAAAATAGGGCTGGTATTTTGTAGTTTTTCAATTCAAACGCTTAATTTTTTGTTGTAAACAAGTTATATAACCTCATACATTAATATTCTCTAATTATTATTATTATCTGAATTATTATTTTTTGTATTATAATTATTATTATTATTATAGTTATAATAATAATTATTATTATTATATTATTTGCTAAAATAGGGCGGGGTATTTGATTACAGAACGATACACTCTATGCTGAAGGATGGAGCTGTACTATGCAAGTGAGTGAATGAGTGGATGAATGAATGAATGAATGAATGAATGAATGAATGAATGAATGAATGAATGAATGAATGAATGAATGAATGAATGAATGAATGAATGAATGAATGAATGAATGAATAATTGTATGAACGAATGAATAAATGAGTGAATGAATGAATGAATGTGAGTGAGTGAGAGTAAGCGGCTGAAGATAGATACCTATTAGTGGAAGAGAGGAATAAAAGAGAAAGAAAAAGAAAAGAACAATGAAAAAGTAAAAGAGAGAGAAGAGGAGAGAGAAGAGAGAGAGAGAGGAGAGAGAGAAAGTCTAATGATCGTGATGATGATATATGGCGATTTTAATGAGCTTAATGATCAACGATAAAGATTTGCTCCGGAGTATTAAAATGATAATGATGGTGATAAAAATATTGATGATGATGCTGTTATGGTGATGATGTTGTGATAGTGGTGATGATATTATTATGGTGATGGTGAAGATGAAGATGGTGGTGTTGAATTGTACTGTATGAGTTGTTAGCTGCGATTTCGTAAATTCGTTTCATCATTATCATTATTATTATTGTTGTTGTTGCTATTATTATTATTATTATTATTATTATTATTATTGCTGCTGCTGGTTTTATTGCTTTTTATTGATGTTAATCTTATTTTTCCCTAATTTAAAAATACTTATTTGTTGCAAACGCTGATCCGCCGCATTCTAACGTTTAACGATACACTTTTATTTACTTCATCCTTCCATCCGTTTATTCCTTTGCTCATTCATTTGTTCTTTCATTCATTTAATCGTTCATTCATTCATTCATTCATTCGTTCGTTCGTTCATTCATTCATTCACTCTTTTCACTCCTTTTCATTCGTGTATAATTGTTATTATTAATATCGATAGTTTTTTACCATACAATTCTTAAATTATTCGTTCCTGCGTTTGCTGGTTCCTTTAACTCTTCATTCATTCATTCATTCGTTCGTTCGTTCGTTCGTTCATATTTCCGTTTGTTCATTTATTTGTTTATTAATTCATCCATTAATTAATTCATCCATTCATCCTCATAAAATATTTAATTCATTCCTTCACCTATCCACGCCTTCTCTCCATCACTCAACCCACACTCCACAAATCCCATCAATCAACCAACCCTTCATCCCTTTACTGCCCAACCTAACCCAAACTAACCTCCGACCTAAGACTGATGAACAGACTCCACGAACACGACCACCTGCCAAAACTTTCCTTCCGGAACAACGTGAAGAGCAGCTTTGTGGCCATAGCGAACATCGACACCTTCTGCATAGCGGCACGCAACTACGGCGTCCCGGACAACTGCCTCTTCCAGTCGACGGATCTCTACGAGGGACGCAAGGGTCAGATGCTCAGTGTTCTCAACTGCCTCGATCAGCTAGGCAAAATTGTTCGTTCGTTCGTTCGTTCTTCCGTTCGTTCGTTTGTTTTTTGTTACAATTTTCTTTCACGTTTGCGAATTACATTACCAGTTATAATAATAAAACACAACTGCTACTACTACCACTACTGCTACTACTACCACTACTGCTACTACTACCACTACTGCTACCACTACCACTACCACTGCTACTGCTACTATAAGTACTCTGCTACTACTACTAATTATAATAAAAATAAATTTTTTTTAATTCTAACCTAACAACAGGCGAACAACAGAGGATTTTTTCCCTTCTACCAAGTTATCCTACCGCCCAAACCGGATCATGATTAAATAATCGTATTTAATCGCACTATTCGGTCGAATATTTAACCGTAGTTAATCGATGAGTTAATTAATCGTGGTTGATTGACAGAGTATAATTAATCCGTATTAATTGGTCAAATTATCGATCCTGGTTAATTTATATTTAGTTAGTTATCGTAAGAAAATCGAAATAAAGCCTTAGAGTGATTCGTAATTAATCGTATTTATCAGATTGATATATGTATTTATGTTGTAAGTATTCATTCATTCTTTCATTCATCCATCCATCCATTCATCCATCCATTCATTCATCCATTCATTCATTCGACATTTGATTCGTTTATTTTCTGCCATTATTATTTCCCTGCTTATTTTAATAATTGATGCTATTTTTTCAAGAAAATATTAATTTGATAAATTCATTTCGTGATTGAAACAAAATAAAAAATATGCATAACAAACCAAAAAAGCTATGTCTTTGTGATTCTGTTTTTGTGTGCTCATGTATATGTGTGTTTGTCTATAATAATAATCTCAATTTGATAGACTTAACTCTTGTGTTTCATCAGTGAAGGACTGGCATTCCCTTAACTCTCTTCAACGAAATGCCCAAAAATCTGAAATAATGTTTTACTGCACACCACAGCAACTCACGAAATGTTCTCCACCCACCAACGAGTCAATTGGCGGATCAAACATCTCTAAATCAACAACTCTTAACCTTCTAGGTGTTACTTTCCACCCGTCTCTAACTTTCAAAGCTCACACTTCTTCTCCCATCAAAATTCGCAATTACATCATTTGGTCTATTCGCCACATTCGATCTTTTCTCACAGTCGAAATGGCCACACTTTGTTATACAGAACTCGGGCAAATCTAATTTTCTCTCTTCAGCACATTTAACACAGACTAGCCAAACTCGTTTCAGAATGACCTCGTTTGTCTTCCAGTTCATCCTCTCTTGCTCGCCTGCACTGGCTCTCGGATTCATCAATGCATCAAATATAAAAGCATAGGGTGCTGCCCAAATGACTTTATTATTATAATTATTTGTTTGTATGTGTGTGTGTGTGTGTGTGTGTGGTGTGTGTGTGTGTGTGTGTGTGTGTGCGTGTGTGGAGCGTGTTTTTAGCGGAGCGTGTGAACAGAAAAATGTTTCAAAGTTTTATTTAGAGAGAGAAAAATAGTTTTAATATAGAATGCAGGCCAGCCGTATATGTGCTCGTAGAATAAGTATTCCTATTCGCTTCAGAGTTATTTTCGCACCTGAAAAGACATTTAACAATTTGTAACAATCATAATATTACTAATTATATTATTCAGCAAACTAATTAAAGTTAATCGTAATTAATGAGCTAACTTAATCAACGTGACGTCAATGCATTTCTAAATTAACATAATATATGAAAGCAACCTACCTACTTAACATAATAGGGTAATAGTTAGTATTTTTATAAAAATAAAAATAGAAAAAATAAAATAATAATAATGGGACATTTATATAGCGCCCAATTTAGCCTCAAAAAAGTTTGGAATGAGCTTTTCCCAAACAAGCCATACACATATGCCTCCACAAAAAAACCAACATATAAAACACACACACAGTTAACGAAAACTTTCTTTGTATTCGATCCTGGTCACTGCGACGCAAGAGACAAGCACTTCACCACTAGGATATCGCATCACTGATGATTTATTTACTACCATCAAATAAAACTAATTGGCCCTAGCCAACCGAACTACCTCAATTGTGGTGGCGTCAATCTCTCTTTCTATCTTTCCATCATCTTCTCTTTTATCAAGCCATCTGTCGACGTTAAACATGAAGACCTGATTGCTCCGCTCCACGGTCACGTGGTCCAGAAACCAACCGGAACCGAACTTCGTGCCGTTGTGTCCGATTGTGATCTTGTGGATCTATGGACGGTTGGATGGATTGATGATGGAGTGATGCAAGAATGAATGAATGAATGAATGAATGAATGAATGGATGAATGAATGAACGAACGAATGAATGAATGATAAATGAAGGAAAGAATTGATGCACGGATGTATAGATGGAAAAAAGATGGATAGACGGATGAATAGACAAAGAATGGATAGATGAATAAAAGAACGTCTACCTCAAAGATTTACCTATTCCTTTATATTTAAAGATATGTGTGTGTGTGTGCCTGTGTAATATTGTGTGTGTTGTTGCGTTTACACGTGAGTGTGCGTGCGTGCGTGCGTGTGTGTGTATGCGTGTGTGTGTGTGTGCGTGTGTGTGTGTCACTAACTTTTCCAACGTCTACAGCATCCATCTGAAACACATCCAGGCTGTTTCTTTCGAATGGATTTTTACTTTTGCTGAGGGATTTTTTCAGGATCAACCTATCCGTCGTTCTACTCTTTCCGTGTAGCGCCACATAAACTTCAGAATCGGTCCCGGCTCCAAACTTATTTCCGGTTTTAACGGATATCGTGTATGTTGTTGTTGTCGTTGTTGAGTCAGATGAGTGATTTTTGTTCTTCTCGTCATCGTCATCGTCATCTGAATCGGATTTTTTTTCACGATCTTTGGTTCTATCTTCATGATGATGATGATGATGATGATCGTGATTATGTTTATTGCCAGTATCATTATCATTTTCTTCTTCTTCTTCTTCTTCACCGTCATTATCAATTTTACCGTGCTTGGTTGGTTTATTTTTCGAGCCAGTTTTGGCCGGCGAAGATGATTTTGCAGTCTTTTTCTTCTTATTATTACCATTATTCTTTCTCGATTTACTATTATTGGTTTCAGTTTCGTTTTTACTTTTAGCGCCATCTGGGAAAATGTAAATTTCATTTTTGCTGTCCTCCTCATCCAGCCACTTACCGACACTAAATAGATATGCCCGATTGGCCGGCGTCGTTACTTTCAACCTGCTAAGGTACCAGCCGGAACCTAATTTGGTACCATCGTGTCCAATGCGAACCTTTTTTATCTGGACAGGGTCATTATAAATAGTTTTTATGTGCTAATAATAATAATAACAACAACAACAACAACAATAATAATAATAATGAGAACATTCTTTTATTTTCTAACTCCAAATACCAAATGTCAATGATAAAATAATTATAAAATCCTATTAATCTAAAATGTACGTCACTGCTAAAGTGAGTATATTTTAGAGGGGGCTGGTTTAATTGCTCGACTGGAGTTCAATCATTCTTGATATTATTTTGACGCTATCAATCAAATTTTATGATAAGCATAGAGTTGCAATAAAATTAATAAAAAGACAATAATAATAATAATTTTAATAATAATTTTTAATAATAATAATAATAATAACAGCCCAACGTACCTTCCCTATATTCAATGACGAAACCGTAAAATGATCGGTCTGACCTGTCTCGAATAAATTACTATTGCCTTTTTTATTATTATTATTTCTATTATTATCATTCTTGTTGTCTTTTTTATTGTCGGATACCGAGACGGTTTTATCGAGAAACATCTTCGACGTTCTTCCCTTCACGCCGAATAGTTGGATGAATACCTTTGAGTCGGTCCCGGAACCGAAATCCGTACCGGTTACCGTCTCGATATCGTAATTCACTTTTAAATAATTTTATTGTATGTATGTTTATATCTATGTCTGTCTGTCTGTATGTATGTATGTGTAGTTTATATATGTATTTATGTATTATTATATTCAATATATTAATAGTATTATATTGATTGCAATTCTTTACCGTGTTAAACTGCTGCTTATCAGATCATAAATTAATGAAACTACACATACCGTTGGGTTGATTTCATCTTTATTTTACGTTTTCAGATTTACAAGTGAACGCGCAATATGAAGCAAAAATTATAAGTTATAAATTATAATTATAGATAATTATAACCTCTTTCATATTTGTCTTTATCATCAGCTTTTTTACGCTTGGCCTTTTTTTCTGGCGATTTATCTTTAGACGGTTTCGATGAAGCTGTGAAGAATAAATAATTCTTGTTTAATTATGGATAATTATGAATAAAATTGTAAAGTCAGTCAATCAGTCAGTCAATCAATCAATCAATCAACCAACCAACCAATCAATCAACCAATCAATCAATCAGTCAATCAATCAATGAACCACACTCACAAACACTGGTCGGTTTGAGATCCCTGACTATCTTCCCATCCTCCTCTTTCTCGTCAAACCACCTGCCAACTTTAAATCCATACACATCTCCGGTTGATTGGCAGCTCACTTTTAGCTCTTCCAAGAACCAACCGGAAGCCAGTTTCGAACTGTCATGGCCGATTTTAACTTTTTCGATCTTTGATAATTGTGTAGAGATAAAACCTTAACAAAATTATACTACTGCTGCTGTTGCTGCTACTGCTACTACTACTACCAATACTACTACTACTACTACACTAACAAGCAACAACAGAAATAATAATAAAAATATCAAACTGACTTTTCGAATTAAGGGCGCGAAAACTTCGAACGTGTCGACCTTTCCTCTCTCAAACGGATTTTTATTATTCGACTTTTGCAGTAATATTCGGTCGGATCTCTCGCCATCCTTGCCGAATAGTTGAACGAATATTTTCGAGTCCGTTCCCGATCCAAATTTATTACCGGTTGTCGTTGTGACGATGTATTTTGCTAGGAGAGAGAAAAAAAATTAGATTGAGAGAGAGATAGAAAAAGGGAGGAGAAAGATAAAGAGAAAGAAAAAGAGAAGAAGAAAGGAGAAATATAGAAAGAGATAGAAAAAGAGAGAAAGAGAGAGAAACTATGTTAACGTAATTGAAAAAATGGAAAAAATTAACAGCCGTTACTTTTCTTTGCTTCGTCATCATCTTCATTCTCCTTCTTTTTATTATTATTATTATTCTTTTTCTTTTCTTTATTACTATCGTCATCATCATCCTCATCATCATCATTTTTCTTTTTATTATTATTCTTATTGTTAAATTTCGATTTCTTATTATTTCCATTCTTATTTTCATCATCGTCATCATCATCGCTATTGCTACCTTCGTCAAAATCATCATCATCATCACCTTCATCTTCATCATCACCACCGTCATCACTACCATCATCATCTTTATCGTTTTTATCATTATTCTTATTGCTATTGCTATTTTTCTTATTCTTATTATGCTTCTGATCGTGCGAATTCAGCTTCTGATTGGTCGATTTTTCAGGCGACTCTATTCGGGAAGGAATAACAATAACAACAATGATAATAACAACAATAATAACCATAATAATAATAATAATAACAATAATAACAATAATAATAATAACAATAATAATAACAAGACCACCTTTTAATATTGTGGTGGGCGTCAAATCCCTCTCTATTAATCTGTCCCCAGAATTTCTGTCGAAACTCTTGTTAACGTCGAACACGTAGACGAGTCTACTGTTTGCGGTCGTCTTCAGTCTGAGGCTTCCCAGAGTCCAACTTGTATTCGACTTAATGTGATCGTGACCTATTTTTACTTTGGTTATCTGTGTGCGTGAGTTTGTGCGTGAGTGCGTGGTGTGTGTGCGTGTGTAAGAGAGAGAGAGAAAGAGAGAGAAGAGAAGAAGAAGAAGCCTCCTCTTAATTATTATAACTATCTTCCATGATACAAAAATTGCTTTTTTGTATATTTCAATCATATTAATCAAATTACAATTGTTTTTTGTTTTTTAAAAGTAATTTTACTTAATTGTAGTGTGTTTGTAATTAAAATATAATAAAATAAAAAAAATTTTTTTTTAAATGATTTAAATCTTATATATGATGATATTCCTCTCACTAACCTTTCCAACGTCTGTCGCAGAGAATTTAAATTTATCCAGAAAACTTTGCGAGCTGGAAGATGGCGATGAGGATAATTTAAGAGGGATTTTTTCCGATTTCAAATATCTACCAAATATGATGACGTAGATGTTGATGTTGTTGTTGCTGTTGTTGTTGTTCACCGATTTTGATTGGCTGCCCGTTGTGATGGTTAAATGGTAGGTCGCTATTGATTGGTTGGTTGGTTGGTTGGTCGCTATTGATTGGTTGGTTGGTTGATTGATTGATTGATTGATTGATGGAGTTATATTGATTGGTTGGGTGAGTTACAAATGTAACAAAAATTAAA